GGGTGGGGAACGCCATTGGACCTTCCCTTAAATTCGCCAATGATTAAGTACGTTACAAAGTATTATAGCTTCTCTACAATTTACTTCTACTGGAAGCTAGATAAGCGGACGAAACTCACCCAAAGTCGTTCCAAGGCGACCCATTATTGCCTTCATTTCCTTTTGGTTCGTGGTCTGCAGCTTGTTCCGGCATTGCTGCCTGCAAGTCTGGTGATTCTTCCACGAGCACAGGATCTTCATCTTTATGAAAACTGCGTGATGCATCGGTGGCAGAGGGTGATCGAGAGTATTAAAAAAAATTAGGAGAAATGAGGACACGTGAGGCAAATAGAGGAATCATTCTAACTAGTCGGATTTCCCTTCGTTTGATCTCGACTGAGGAGAGAAGTATCCTCATTCAAAAGGTAAATTTAATTGTGACTCAACCGAAATCATCCAACTAGACCGCTCTCCTACAATATTTATTTCAATGTTTCTACCTGGAAGTTCTCGAAGGCGACTCCATTGCGAAGTCTATATCTTCACTCGGCTGCCTAACAAGAATAGCAGGGATCTGCAATATCCTGCAAAAATAACATTTTAAAATTAAGCCATTTGTATGCAATCATCTCTCCACAAGAATTGGACTGGTTGAAGAGTTCCAGGCGAGTTTTCAAGGCCAACCCACTCGGAGCGTAGCAAAGAAAAATCGATTAAAAATCTCTCCAAGCTAAAGACATTGAACAGGATTGGAACTATCACCTTTCTTTTTCAATTGACACAATTCTTAAATTTTAGGGGTATAACAGTTTTTTTTTTCAGGCGGATAACAGTTTGTGGGTAAAAAAAATATTCACAGTTGTTTTCATTCATTTCATTCATTTTTCAGTATTTTCAGTCTCTCCTTCACGATTGTCAAGAAAGTCCCCACTTTTTTTACCTTGCAGGTTTCACAGTATCATCTGGTTCTTCTTTTATATTGTCATCTTCCACTGGTTCGTTGTGAACTTCTTCAATTCTGAAAGACAGAGAATCATCAATTCTCTCCGATCCTCAAAGCTGACTGCTGTTACATTTGCCTTATTTCTCAAGCGTAAGGCTGGGATGTCTGTGGACTTGCCAAGTCCCTTCTCTCTAATATAAACTAGTCATAACGTGACGAAGTAGCTAAGGGTCTTCGTCTTCCTCTTGGTTTAGTGCCATGTGAGAACGTTTGCCAGGCCAGCTGATTTCGCTCCGTGTCCTTAGCAGTACAATTTCCCTATCTTTAAGACAGAGTTTGAAGTAGAGGCAAATATACAGCTAACTGTCGCACAAGCTTTGTCGAAATTAGGCAGTCTAAGACTGTGTGTGGCTACTGATTTTTATAGCAATGAAAAGAGTTGGAGGTGGTATAATGACGCTAGAAGGTAGTGTTGCAAAATATTTGTATCTGCATGCAAAACAGAAAACCTGCCGCATCCCGCATATTTATAGGTAACCTATTCCAAAAGGGAAGGATGATTCAATAATATAGTAAATAATCGATACTCAACCTATAATTTCGGCTTATGGTAGGTGTACCCTAAAATGTGGTTAATTTTCGCTTACTGCTCAGGTGGACTGGTCTCATGTTGTACCAATGGTTGTCCTGCTTCTTCGTCAATGAATGACACTCGCTTAGAAGTTCTCTTAGACGGGGATCCAGATCCCGGAGTCTGACCTTCACTGTGATGCAAAGAAATAAAAGATATCAGTACGTACAAAAACAGAGGATAGCTTTGAAGGCGCGCTCTGATTGGCTACTCAAACTCCGAATATCCTTTGCTATTCACCTCTGAACGACTCACGCGGGATTTGCACCCGAAAATATTGTAATCGTCGCAGGAATAAATTAATTTAAGTCATCTCTCTAGACTATATTATCTAACTGTTTTAGTATAACGTAAAACAAACATTTTACCTCAGTGTCGGTGAGAAGTTATAAAATAATAAATAAATGAAAGAATAAAATAGAAAAAAAAGAGAACCCACAGGCAACGAGAAGTTATTCTTTAAACTGTTAATCCTTCAACATTAACGAAAGGCGCAAAAGTAAAACCAAAATAAGAGCAACTGAAGAAAAAAAGGAATCAAAGCAGCCCCGCGGAGCAAGTAAATGTAAACTGCCCTGCTCAGGAACACAAGAGTATCTACGTCACGATTAGTTCAGTTTTGTATCTTAGTGGTCGAGAGTGCGGTTTAATTTTTCTAGGCTTGATCATTGGGCACAGTGAAGCAGCGAGTAACAGACAACAGCGCATCTCAAGTAATGGTCATTCCTGTGACCGGGTATGTGTCAATAAGGGGACCATACAAGGAAGTGCGGGGATCCATATTTATTTTATTTTCTTGAGACGTTTATAAACGACACGCCCGTGCTCTTCAAATATGCTGATGACTCAACTATTGTAGCTTCCGTATGGAAGGATTTAGACACGTCAATAGACCTGGTAAAATCAGTTTCTCTGTTGGAGTATAAATGATCAGATGCTGTGTAATCCGAGAAAGTGTAAAGAACTGATATTTTAGAAAGAAGGACAGTAGTGGTACACGCCATCAGTACGCTCCCATCAATAACATTCCTCGATGTGATAGCCTTGTATTGCTCGGTCTGATTTTTCAGCCTAATTGTAAATTCAGCGAGCATGTTAGACTTAAGTTCACAAAAGCTAACGAGTGCCTTCACATTCTCAGAACTCTACGAAAGGAACTCCTTAGCCAGAAGGAAATTGATCACTTATTTAAGATCCTAGTTCTTCCCATTCTCACTTATGGTCTCGCTGTGTATGGTGCTTCTGACTCTTGATTTAAATGTTATAAAGCGTTTTTTTAGACAGGTGCCATAAGCGTCATTTTACCTCTCAAACACTCAGCACTTTTAATCTTTGAGAACAGCAAGATAAATCCGTTTTTAAAAGAGCTATTGATAATCATACGCTAGGTGCGATCATTCCCAAAGAAAAAGAATTAGTATATAATTTGCGTACGAGGTGTCACCTTCCTCAGATAAAAATGGAGAGATTCAAGAAAACGTTGTAAATAGACTTATTTTTAAATATAATCTAGTGTAGTATTATTATTCTATCTTATATTATTATTGTATTTTATCGTGTATCATTTAATACTTTTTTACTGTAACTTAGAATATGTATTTTTATCCTTTGATTGAATTAACACTATTATTATTATTATTATTATTATTATTATTATTACCTGTACAACAATGCAGTACGTAAAAAAGAAAAATATCGGAACTTGATTAACGAAATGAGTAGAACTCTCAGAGGTGTGAAATTTGTAAATCTCTCCATGAGCTCCCTTGGCGTTTTCTCAGATGAATGCTCTACGTTCTTAGGCATGATGAATGACATAGGCATTGACAAAAAGCAGCAACTTTACATAATCAAGGAAATGATAAATATAGCTATTAGAGCAACATATTACGTCTTTTGTTGTAGAAATAGGAATTGGGACAACCCAGATTTAATGCAATTTTGATTTTTGTCTGTGTGTTGAATAGGCCAATCTCAAGCAGCATTTGTAAATTGCCTATACGTAGTGAGATTTACAATTGGACATTTAAAAACACAAATAAAGTTTCCATTTTTATTATGCAGTATACACGTTTGGATGCTAGTGAGCTAAGCAAGATAGGGCGAAAATTCGTAACCTATCTGCATGACAGGACTGTTAACTATAATAATATCTAATACTACTTAAATATAAATGATCAATATAAAACAATAAAAGTGTCAATTGGCCCAATACTAAGTTTTTTTTTTTAAATGTTCATGATGTACTGTTCAGCTCTTAAAATATCCTTAACTTAAAATGTTCATAAAATACTGTTCATAAAAACCAAATATTATTATTATTATTATTATTACTATTATTATAAAAGCAGAACTTGTCCATCTCAGTTCTTACCTTTCTCTTCCTTCTCCAAACATGTTAACCAATGCATCTCTCAGCAAAAGAGAGGCCGGGCGAGAACTGGGCCTTGAGCCACCTCCGGTGCTAGCCACGCCCGGTGATAGGTACGGGCCTTTGCTAGTCGACGGCTTTGTCAGAGGTACAGTCTCCTCCGCGCACGACGATGGACGGGAGGGCCTGGGAGTTCGTACACTAAAATAGGAATGAAATGAGTGTCAATGTTTTGGTCACTCAGGCTAGAGAAAACCTATTAAGGTTCGATAAAGGTTCTGCGAAGCATGATAGCTTTTGAAAAGGTAACCAGTTGTTTCGTCTACGAATTAATTGGCCAAAGGTAAACATGATAAATTCGCCGACGGCTCAATGGGTTCGTCCGTTCCGTGAAAAGTTCACTTAATGATGAAAATTTGATTTTCAGTACTTTTCCAGCATTTGAATTGTACAAGTTCCGGTTGATCGGAAGCTGGACAACGGGACAAGTTAGAGCAGTGTGCTACGATTCACTTTTCTATTACTATAATAACGTTACATATGCTGACAACAAGCGGACTCCCCCTGTTGTTTACAGTTTGAGAAAAAATGCTGTTTGTTTACCCTTCCGCTAACTCCAAAAGTCTTCCCGCAAACGATATTTTCTTATATCCTCCAACCATAGGACTGGGTCTGCAGAGTGAATTAAAAGAAACTATGAGTTGATTTCAGATTCGAATATGAGTAAGTCCTTTTTTCAGCCATTCCCGTTTTCAAGAAAAGATATATTCAAGTAATTATTCTTTGGATCCCTATGCTTTGACTAAAGAATGTTACTCATAATAGTTAGTGAGAGAGGGGAACTCGGGGACGATCAAGGAGAAATTTGTATTTGCACGACGTATCGATGAGGACAAGTACATTGTAGCTTCAAATTTTTCCGTCAGAGAAATCAGTGCCAGGCGTTCTACACGTCGCCGAGGATTGTGGGTGGAGCATTCTCTGAACGGGTATATGTGCCAGCTTCTGGGATCTTACATGTTCTTGGAGGT